AGCATGAGTCGGGAATCGAAATGGGTAGCATGAGTCGGGAATCGAAATGGGCAGTATGAGTCGAGAATCGAAATGGGTCGTATGAGTCGGGAATCGCAGTGACTGTATAATTAAGATGAGACTAACCGAGTTAAACTTGCTGAACAATGTGTAAGTAAACGGGTTTGACCACGACTTGCAGTAACATTCAAGCAGACTAAGATCAGTGAGGCAAAACATTTCCACATGCCAACATGAAACGAATAAGCTGTTCGGGAAATATATCTGGCGGCACAGGTGGGTGGGGGTTGTTGTGCTTGCGTGGGAGTTCATGAACTGTGTTTTCTTCAGCACGTAACACGTGAGAATGGACTGACGTGGTCTACTTTGGTCACGTTGCTGCTTAATGCTTTTTACTGACAGGAGATCTAAAATACCAATTTAGAATTTCTCAGAAATTGGGAACCAATGAAGGAAAGTAAAATAATTGTAAATCAGTCGCTATCATATCTGATCTACGACGGAGATATTAATTCTGTCGATACGAAATATCTCTCAAAGATTCGGTGGTTCTAACAAACATGATTTGTTCTATTGAAAGAATGACGAAAACCTCTGAAAAAATTTAGATCATTCCTTTCAATAGAGAAATATGAAAATGTTCAGCAAAAAGGAATAAAGGAAAGTTTCCACATTTCTCTGTTAAAAAGAGTAACCAAAATTTCGAATTATTTTGCGGAAAGAGACTATGGAAAGAGGAATTTGATTCTTTTTGCAAAGAAGGCATTTATCTATTGAACTATTCATTTTTTTTTCTCAGTTCCTAAGCAATGGTACCTGAGATAGCCAGAATTCATGCTGAATTCGCTCTGCACTCTATATTGGTTAATAAGAATGAATAATTGTTCTAAACGTGTAATATATTTAAACAATCAGGAAATTATATTAAGCTAATTCATATTGTCCTTGCAGCCTGTCGGTCGAATACTTCAATTCTTGCAAAAAGACAGGAAATTATACTCTCCCTCAAACACTAATCCATTAATCATTTTAAATAATTATGAAATTTGTGATCGCAAGCAAGCTCATACACGGTCGATTACGGTGCCAATAAACCAGTTTACATCTTGTCCTTTTTGAAAGTGCACTTCTACAAAATTGTTATATTTAAAGGGACAGATACCTTTCTCTTCAAGCAAAAACTACTGTGAATGCTGCCATTTGCGGGGAAGGTTTGTAACAAAGAAGGAAGCCTCCCATGAAACCAACTATTATAATCTTCCTCCGTTTGACATTTTTTAAGGTGGAAAAAACGAAACAATGTTTTCTGGCACAACCCTGTCAAGAAACTGTTATATTTTTTTGTCCACAAGATGGCAATTTTTGTACAATGCACAAAAGAAGTAACAGTTTTTTTGTTGTTGAGTTGCGGGTGCATGAAATATCCTCCCGAACAATCACAGTGTCCTTGCTATGGAAAACTACATATCCATCCCATTCGTTAATGCCACAATATGAATTTTAGTGGCGGAAAACTCGTTTTAAGCATAGCTTTATGAATCGCAGTACCATTTACCTCCCAATATTTTGTAATTTGTATTACAAAAACATTATTCGAGGTAGTACCTTTACCCTGAAATCGACCAGACCAGCATCGCTTGGCTTCTTCATCCTTCTTTCATTTCATGAATCGATAAGAATTTAATTTTTTATTTTTCATAATTCAAAGTTCATTTTTTTTTAAATAACAAATTTTAAGCCTGTATAACTTATCGTAAAAGCTAACATACTACATCGGAGCATGTAACTTAACAAATTTTAGCAGTAATACTTTATTTATAAATGCACATTTAAAATTGGCTTGCAAATTGACCATTTAAGTTCACTGGATATTGATGTATTTATTTTTCTCAGATAAGTTAAAAATAAACGGATTGAACTCTGCGGAAGAAAACTACCTGTTTTTCTTTCTTCAGAAAATTAAAATTATTTTTGGAATTTTTCAAGTAAATATTCGAAAAAGAGCTAACTAGGAAAGAACTTCCGACGTTCAGATTCAGAAGCTGATGGATTTTTAGATTTGGAGTAAACAAAGATAATTTTGAGGAAAAATGATCATTATGTTTAATAGAGACTTGCTAACATGCATTCACGAGTTGGTGATCTAGAATTTATCATCAAACTGACCAGAAGAATGATTACATAGCGACGCAATTTTGCATATGTTTTGATTTGTAGGAAATATTACTTCTTTATCATTTCTAATGATATGAGCTACAAATAATATGAAAAAGATTACGAGCATTTGAAGTAATGTAAAATTTTTTCCTCATTTCTTGAAAATGCCACTAGAAAAATTCGCAAACCCAATTTTGAAATCTTTTTTTCTGAAATTTGCTTCCAAAAGTTCAAAACAAAGTTCCTATGAAGTTATGGATTTTTTGATCGTTAATAAGATGTTATAATTATAAGTTTTTTATGTGGTATTAAAACTTAATCTTATACATTTCCCTTTCCCATTCAACCATTTGAATTATCCTTGAATTAAAGAAAAATTATATTAATCCTGACGTAGTACCCATTTAATATAAGTTCATTCACCGCTTTTCAAATAAAATTGATGTCATATCCATCTTTCAACCAAACGTTAAATCTACAATTCCGAATCCCACTGTTCGGAATTTCCGGAAATCGCAAATTTAAATTCATCTTCAAGAAGCAATTTAAAAAGTAATTTCATATACAGAGGAAGGTGTGAATGTATGGGAACACCGTGAGGGGTTATTGAAAATTTCATTAATTTGTGGACAACAGACGCCAAGACGACTGCAATTTTCGGAACTTTTTGAGAACAATTTGAAGTTTTTTGATTATCCTCTATCAAAACAGCCCCTCAAATGTTGAGCAATTTCCACTACCGTATGCTTCTGACAAAGTTAATAATTTTTAGAACCAGATTACAAATGTATTTATGTTTATATATTGCTATTATTGCATTTTAATTTACAATTACCATTTGTTGTTTTATTTTTGATGATTTCTGTTGAGAACCAATTATTTTTAAGAAAATAATTTTATAACCATGGAAGATCATTTTTTTATATTCAAAATATTTTTTCATTATGTAAAAATAATGTGAACTGGAGAAGATAATAAAAAAGGCATAGAAATGGAAGCTGGACGTATTAAATCACGCGAACACGTAAATGCGCTTAGAAATAACTTACTTTTGAACAAAACTGATAATAAATGTAATGCTACATAACAAAATCTGTCAAAAAGGTCAGACGGATTAAATAAATTTTATTGGCTCTGCAATTTATATTTTGTTAATGTGCTAACTTTTCTTCATTTATAATCTTTTCAGTTTCTACTCCAATAGAAAATCCAAATCCCACAAAGCTCTCACAGAGATCGGCGCAGTTGTCCTTGTCTTGTGATCCGCTCTTCAAATTTTCAGGAGTTTCTTATATCGCATATAAAAATTCTAAATGTTCTGAGGAGTTTATTTCATGCGTCTTTTCTTCCAATTTTTAACAAATATTTGTGACAAAATTTTTTGAAAATCTAATTTAAAATATTTTCCAAACTAAACTATTTTCCAAAATTAAACAAGATTTTATTACTGCTAAAATTTTAAAATAATTTTTTATTTCAAAAAATTTTTAGAATTGATTTAAATTTTCTCGAAGAAGTGTTGTTTTCAATGTTTTTGTGAGAATTTCAAACGACTAAAATCAGTAGAAGATTAATAGTTGAAGAGTACTGCTATCACCAGACCAAATAACTTCACAGAAAGTATGATGTCTGTCATTAATGCACGACCCGTAATAATTGCTGAGTATTAATGCTGAAAGTGTGATATGATAAATTGGAAGAAGAGTTCAAAAAGCGCTTTCTCTTAACAATCCAACTAAAGTTGATTAAGAAAGATGATAGGTCAGCACGACATATTTATCAGAGAAATACAAAAAAGTATAAGTAAATTAATACTAACAGTAGACAAATGGCATCTTCAAATGATCCGGAATGCTTAAGTGACTCGGATTGCTTTCTTTACAATTATGCTATTGCTATAAGAATTGCAAATGAAAAGTCTTCCTTATTTTCAGCAAATAATTTTCCATATTTGATTGCTTCCATATTTAACCAATGTAAAAATCTGTTTGAATCGATCAATCGAGTCAAAATTGAACCGTACAGGATGCTGACATATCGCAGTGAATGGATCATCTTCGTAAATCCAACCGAACAGTTGCTGGCTATCATTAACAAATAAAAAGAAACACAATTTGGGGTGTCATTTTGTTTTGTTCCATCATTTTATCAAAAGAATTAAACAAACAAAAAAATTTCATGACTTAAATCTTTTAGCATTTAGCAAATTGCTTTGTGAAATCGATAGAAACATGAATTA